CCCTTGGAGATTGGTCTCAAAATTTGAATATGTGATATCTTGTTCGCATAACAACACTATGGATGTTTTCTTTTGGACTATTTTCAGTCCCAGACCATACCAGACCAGATCAGACCAGACCAGACCAGATCAGACCAGACCAAACCAGACTTTCGTAGTTATAAAATACACAGAGACCAGACGTTTACCAGACCAGACCAGACCAGCAAATTCCAGTCCAAGAAAACATCCTATATGCGTCAAAATTCCCATTCATAAAATTATTATAAAAAATTTAGTTCAATATGAAATCTAATATAATTCTGACTTATTTTGAGCATAATATATGATGCTAAATAAAAAGTTCATATTGCATAAAAGTTATCAATCTGTCGAAAAATCTTACTACCAAAAATGACCTTAATCTTTTCCATAATTACGGATCCCAAATAAAAACACAACCAGTTTTGGCGGGCAAACTGGCGGCTGTCGTCTTTATTTCGTTTGTCACGTTTCTGGCATTGGGGTCAGGAAGTCGATCAAATCGACAATGTCCGAATTACCAGAAGTGACTTCGCTATTCGCTGCCCTCGCATCGAAGCTCCAAGAGGGCGAAGCTACGGCTGAAGATGACGATCGAAACCTTGATTATGCCGTTCGTAATTTCAACATGCGGCTCAACCTTTCTGAAACCAACCCTAAAGTCCAGGTTTTGGACACTGCACTCTCTCTTATGTGCTTCACCGCTCCGCAGGTGAGCATCTTTCTCTACAAACATTTTAACTTGGAGATTCTGTTGATGTCCTGATTTTCTGATATAGTATGTTTTGGACTGCTTTAGGTCTTCAATTCGATGATTGAGTTCACGGTGAGAACAATTGTTACGGTTCTATCTTCATCAGTTGAATGCGAGGTTGTGAAGTGGGGCAATGAGGAAAGTATACAGGTCTGCCGGCCGAATTTTGGTCTGGATTGTGTTGGAACAGTTGAAACCTGCTCTGATATTTTTCAAAAACTTGAAGCATCAAGAGGTGTTCATTGGGCCTATTTTCTCGAAAACTATAAATAGTTTATTAGTAAAGCTCGTTTGTTGACAGATATATTATGATATACTTCGCACATAAGCTTGCTTGTATGTGGACTATATGGTGAGACAGTTATATCTTTTATGATTCCTCCATATATGTGGCAGGAGATCTTTCTCCTTTACTGCTTTATGCTGTTGTAAGAGCTGCAGCATTGGCACCAAAGTGTCATTATTCAGAGAAAATGATTAAGGTGAAAGCTATGGGGAGATGTAACTCTGCTTTTGCGAAGTTGCTTTGCCATTCATCTAGGGACTGCATCCTCAAGAGTGGAGAAATTCCATTAAGGTATATTATTTCAGGTTCTGCATGTGCATTTTGTTATTTTTTATTGTTTCATGCGGGCCTTGCATTTTCATGAGTATAAGGTATAACCCTGTTTCTGTGAGGAAATACTGTTCAAGAGTGTGCACAAGTGAATACTAGGAAACCACTAGGATGTTTGTTTAGTATACTTGCTCCGTATTATATTAGGTGTTACTATAGTTTTTTCACGGAGATTGAATTTGTCAATAAGATCATAGTATTTCTTTTCTCTATAAGAGATAGTGACTAGTGAGTGTAATAATCCACAACAGATCATGGATTTCAAGTCGGAGCTTGCTTTCTTCTGCATGGTTTCATATGAAGTTTGACCATAATACTCCCTATAATTTGGAACCGTTAAGGACTTGATTGAATCAAGGATTCATGAATATCAATGGGTCCTAGTATTGGTTCGAGTTGACTCTAAGCATACTACCAGTGTCCGTTTCTCTATATCCTACCTGCTTTGATAGCTTCTCTTCTCTGTGTTGTTTATATATAAATAGACTATTTCTATTTGATTAAAACAGAAGAAAGAAAAATAAGATAAAAAAGTTCTAGGACTGAAGGATTCGAATGGGACCAAAACCCGTTGGCTTACCACCTGGCGACCTCTCACTTTTACCTATATCAAATCTATTCTTGGATGTAGGAGAGAATTGTTGAAAAAGTATGAAAGAGAATATGAGAACATATGAAATAAATGACGAAAAAATAAGATAAAAGTTGCCAAAAATGGAAATGGCACAAGTAATAAATACTTCCCACAAAGGAATAAGTAACAAGTAATAAAACATAAATGAAGTATTAATATTTGAGTGAAAAGACAGCCTTTTCTTTCCGAATGTGGAGTCTTGGAAGTGTTTGCATTGACATGCACAAGAACATATTTTTAGTCCCCATTGTTAGGTCAACTGGTCAATACGTTAAGTACATTTTTTCAAAGTATTTTGATCCACAGTTCGATCGCTACTTCCATAATTTTCAGTAAAGTACCCTATAACATCATTACTGTTTTGTAACTTGCTTGATGCTTTATTTTTTTAAATTATTTGCTTTGCAGGTTGCTACGGTGGATGCTTGATCCTATGCTTTTAAAGAATGACATATGCCAAATTTTACTAGAGATCACTAATAGACCTTTCCTTTTCTTGGAAAAGGAATTTTATGAGAAGACAGATTGGATCTCTATTTTAACATGTTTGGTGCTTTCTCCTACAATGTTTATTCAGACAAGAGCTCTACTACATAACTGGTTTCTACTGATGTGAGTTCCCAACATTGCATTCTTTTCCCTCCATATAAACAGATCTCAAAATAATAATGTCTTTTGTGATGAACTGTTTTTTCCTGCTAGAATTAAATAACTTATATTCATTCGTTTGATATATACATCTTTAATGTGTTACACACCATGGACTATATAAACTGCAATGATATCATTTGTTTTTGGAGTAGTTGATCTAAGGCTTTGGATGGATTACAAATCTATGGCTCACTTAACAAGTCGGATGAATAAATTGATATATTGATGTGCTAACAAAACCTGATAGGCTTTGTTATACATAACAGGGGTCTGGCTCCTATCTTAGAGCTTCACAATGAACTAATCTTGCAAGTACTAGACATTGGTTGCAGACCAATGCGGTGGGGAATACCTATGGACATTGCAATAACACTTCCATGTTCTCGTGTATACTTTCCTTGTGAAAATCAATTATTGAGAATACTTTCTGGTCCACTATCCTGGGAAAATTTTCGGCATTTGGTTTGTGAAGTTGTAAAACTAGACTGTGCTGTTAACAAGCTTATGTCATCTTCCAACCAAGATACAAAGGTTTCAAGAGTAGATGTCAATTCTTGTTGGTATGTTTTTTCTTCTGTAAGCTAATCACAATACATGATTTCAACTGTTAATTTGTTTATGTTTGAACTGTTCTATTTCACTGTTCCATTACAGGGCAATGGCAATAAACTTCCCCAGTTGGTTCTCTTTTGCCTCTTTTCTGCTCTTTGTTGATGGGTGCTCTAGAGACAACTATTATTTGAAATGTATACCTTGGTTAAACAAGCCCAACCCATCAAGTGGTGCAGATCTACCTTCTTATTCTCTTGTTGCTGCGAGGTTTATTGCATGGGTTTTGAACCCTATAGGAGATTCTTTCCAGGAGTTAATTGTTGAGCATTTGACCAAACTTTCACATGCAAGGACTCTTAAAAACTTTTATTCTGGTAAAGGCAGTGCAGCCATTGGTGGAAACAATAAGAAAAGTCGGAGATCATTATCTGATATTAAGGGTAGCACAAGTTTTTCTGGCTTTGACTACAAAACACTGTGGCTTTGGATTAAAGAATTTCAAGATATCCATACTAGATATTCCAGAAAAGTTAATGACCATTTTGCATCAACTGAAGCAGACCATTCACATGGAGTTGGCTGTGAGAAAAATGTTTTATATAGAAAGATTCCGTTGGGTATCTTGCTTAGTTATTGTGATAGTATAAGCGACGTGGAAAGTGAGCTGCTTTTGCATTATGCTGCTACCGGTACTCTCGACGATCTGTGTGAACCAAGAGTTGGGAAAAAGCATATGAAGCATAGCCGTGAATTTACACTGACTGAGAAATACACAATAAATGAAGCTGTAGCAGGAGCCAAAATTACGTTTCATCTGACTGATGCAACTGAAAGTATTTCAACTAATATGTTTGAGACTGAGGAGAATAGACTAAAGTTTTTGTGCCATGTGAAAGGAAATATTGGTAAATATCTGCTCAAGTGTGTCAAGAGGCTACTGCAACTCATAGTGGATGATGAATTTAGGCACCAGACCCTGAGCGATCTCTACCTTAGGATGATGAGGTGGAAGCATCAAGGGAAGGACATCTACAGCAGTTACAAGGATTGGGATGATGTCATGGGTGCTGTTAAGTGCGCCTTCTCACCCCCATGTTAACATTTAAAAAATTTTTCTTTGCAAAAAAGACAGATTTTGAAGTGATTGGTAGAATGCCTGGCATTTTGGCGAGAACAGATGTTACTCTTTTGTCTAGACTTCTAGTGCTTTGGTTAGAATTAAAGTTGTGTAAAATGCTCTAGGTGGCACATGCTATAGTCTGGGATTCAAATGTTATACGATCACATGCTATGAATTTTCAATTTATTTATATAAAATATTAAAATCTCAAACTTACCAAGATATAGACCAAGCCCTCTAGACCACTCTTCTTCTAAACCTCTCTCCTTAACCCTCCAATCCAAAGAAAAAACCTAGGCACCGTAGAAGCAGTTAACTTGTGCATGGTTTGGGGATTTTGGAAGGGGTGGAGAGCGGGGATTTATTTTTGTTCTATTTTTTTTTTTAAATTTAGATGGTTGGGAAAAGTGGACATGAAAAAGAATACATTAGTACACTATTTAAAGATTTTAACATATATTTAGGTTCTAGTCTACGACTCATAAATAAAGCTATGCTAGTACAAAAATCACTCCTCCCTCAGCCCCATACACTTCCATCCAAAATTCCCCAACTAAGCATACCTGTGGTGCAGTGATGCCTAGGTGGGGGCTTTCACAAGTGGCTAGAATCTGATTCGTACTTTGAAAAATAATGTTTATATATAGATAATCTACTATACTACCATACATGTTTATTGCAATCAATCAAATATGTTGTCCCATTTACACTTATGCAATGTGTGTGAGTGTGTGGATTTATCATTTACGGACTATATGTGTGCTGTACAAATGACCAAATTACATATCCAAATGGAATTCTCAGCTTCTCCTAAATTTAAAGATGCAGAGGAGCAAGGATAAAGGTTTCTGCAAATGTGTTCTTCACATGTGACCAACTGATATATGTACTCAGAATGAAATGATTTTGGTTCAAACGGCTCAATTAGTAGGTTCTTCTTACTAAGGAGATTCTGGATGGGTCACCACCCCATTCTTCAAACACAACCACAAGATTTCCAGTTGGTCTCAGCCATGATTGCGGTATGTGATACCTGAAATTTACAAGTTTCATAAAATAGGATATATGAACACAACTTGGTTTCTTGCATTCTCTATGGCATGAAATGGATGGATATGCTTTTAAGAAGAGTAAATTATAAGTTATGCTTTTACCATCTTTGAGATGGTTGCCCACAATTAATCTGACATTTGGTCTCAGTGTAAGTTCCAGCATAGCTACACCTATCACTGCACCTTCCTCGAGCAGTATATGCAGGCCAGTGGCGTCCCACACCTACTCCATTTATCCATATCTGACCTTTTCCCATACTGCCCATGTCTAAAGCTAATGGATCATTCCCTTTAGGCGCATTGAAGGTGGCCTAGAAAATATCACGACCCGTAGATGACTAAATTATGATATGCTATTTTATTTCAGACAAGTGATGTAAATTTTAAAGTTGGATTAGCTTGATTTCAGTATGGGTTTACCTTGTACCATGTAAGCGGCTTCCTTTTAGGCAGAAGTGAAGCTTCCCAGTCAACCAAAGAACTCCCCGTTATTGTATTAATATTTACTGATTCTCCTCTAAGACCAACCTGTGCAAACGAACCAGGAGTGAGTGAATTTGCTGAATGAAGGCCAAAAGAGAGAAGCTAAAAGATCAAACCTTATATGACCACCTATGCTTTGTCAGGTCTCTTGTTCCCTTATTCAGACCACTTAATGTGACTGGACCAAGAACTCCTGCATTCCATCTCTCAAAATGTGTGCCAACATTCTGAATATAACAACCAAAAGTTACCATGTCTATCACCTTAACTTAGAACAAAAGTACTTCCTCTCTCCAAAATCAAGTCATGTTTGCAAGACTGATTTCAGTATTACTATTTAGAGATGAGGATCAGTTTGTTTTCTTTAAAATATTACCTTGCAAAATAGTTTCTAATTTTTGTGTGCTTAGCACATGAAAACACTTTCCGCAACAAGTTATTTATCTCTGAAACAAACGGAACCTTAGTCTTTTTTTGGAAGAAAGTTGTAAAAAGTAGAAGTTGAACACTGACCGGGAGACCAACAGCAACACTAAGCAGGGAAATCTTGTTAATACCGGCTTTTAGTTTTACATTGCCAGTAAATGTTACTTTTGGATTGCCTAGTTCCCCATATACAGTTCCTACAAGGAGACAAAAACACTTGTTAAAAGTGAGAAACAAAGATGTGAGAAACAAAAACACAGAGCTGTGTGCTTAAATATGGTTCAAGTTTAAATACCTGAAGATTGACCATTAACAAAAACATGCAACACATGACCAGCAGAACCAACAGTTAAAGTAGGGTACTTCCCATCCTTCAGAAATTCTTCATCGGAAGCAATCTTCACACTAGAGTATTCAAGCAAGCAAGATCATATCATACTGTTAGATTATGTGCGATGTTAATTTGTTACAATTTACAAAGACACTGTTTTTAGAAAAGCTAAGAAGCCAATAGATACATACTCTGTCATGTACCACAAGTAGTCTGAGGAGTCTCTGGTTACATTTAGTTGCTCAAATAAGTGATTAGCTGCTATCAGTTCACTGTCACTTGAAGTTGGAGTTTCTTCTATGTATGACTTCCATGAGAATCCTTCCACAACCGGTATCATCCTGATTTGTGAGCCTCTGGAACTGACCTGCTATTTATATTAAATATTAGGGATGGGATCTGTCCATCAGAAGCATGAGTGACTTGTTACTCTATTGGTCAAGCCCAGTTCTATTCCTCGTAAGTGACCACTACAACATTAAGAGAGCTCATTTGGGATGACTTTTAAAACAGTAAAAGCACTTCTGCAAGATTTCAAAGCAATATTTTGGTGCTTTTGTTGAAAGAAAAGCGACATTACTAAACTGAAAATCATTGTTTTTAGCATTTTGGTGTAAAAATAAGGCACTGCAATCACACTTATTGTAGAACTTATTTAAAGGTGCTTTGTGGAAGTAATCTCAAATGGGGACTAAATTAGTAACAGATGAACTCTCAATAATGGGTATTCTTAGGTGTATTTATGTACAAATTCAGCATAAACGGCTCCTGGCCTTGAATATAGTCTCTCACTATTACCCTGCCTCTACTTTTTTTTATGTTGGATATGTCCTCTTAAAATCCAACAATGAAAATTGAATAATAGACTAAATGAAGCAAAAGTGGAACAAACAAACATGGCATGAAGAACATTCTGGTAGCAAAATTTAGTCCTTATTGCTTACAGAGTATTACCTTTGCAGTGTTGTAGGCAACATTCTTGCAGTCGGGTAGAATACTAATTGACCAAGGAGGCAAGTTATATTGATTATTCTGAAATGTTACTTTTACTGAATGCTGGGGGTCATAATTGGAAAGAAATGAAGCACACAATCCAGACTTTGAGCGAAAGATGTGAGCCTAGAAATCAAAATCAGGAAAAAGTCAGTCCATCTGTACATATAAAATCCATTAGCGTAACCATCTGTAGAAGATACAAGAAAGTATGGACCTGACCTCTTGATTTTTTCCAAGCCAGGTCACTGTGGGATATGACGAAACTAAAGCTGGTTCAGCAAGCTTGATCACTTTATGCAAATCTCTCAGGTGCGTGTATTTTGGCTCATTTGGTTGCCCTAATAAGTCACACAGATCAAACCATCATTACAAGCACAAACTGGTTAGGTTGCATCTATTGCCATTTAGCTGGCCAAATCTATACTAAGCCCCTAAACTTGGCTCTTGGCCACATCGGGCGTCTTTACTTCGATTTGACCTACTAAATGCTTCAGGGAGAAACTTAAGCCCCTACAAACCGTTTCCTGCAGCTTTGTCCAATTCTGGTCATGCCATAGATAAGGTGTTTAAGGCATGACAGGAATGGGAAGGAGATTGAAACATATCTTCCTTTCAAGGAAATGTGCAAATATGATACAGTTGATACCAATCCACACACGTATGATACTTGACTAGTCCTTGAATATATACATTATGCTAATTAATAATTTTCTTGAATTATCATACCATATTCATCTAGAGGAGCATCATAGTCATAACTAGTAGTGACGAAAAGACCCGCAGCTTCTCGTCCAAAATTTGTCCCTCCGTGGTACTGAAGCCACCAGACACGAAATAAGTGCATTGACATTTGGGTGGGGTTTATAAAAGCGCATTGAAAATGAAAAATTGACCAACCATATAATAATTAACAAACGAGCCATTATTCTGGATGAATCTTGCAACTGAAAATGCTATGTCTTCTACAGGTCTCCGTTGAACTGCACCACCAAACTTTGTATACCTGCAGTAGACTTCAAACATAAGAAATTCAATTCGTCCAAGAGAAACAGAGAGAAAGGCAGTGATGTTTTTCTCTATACTTGCCATCCAGTCCAGAGTTCTGTAAACATTTTGGGCTTATATGGTTTGTTGGGATGGAAGCCCTCACAGTAGAATCCATTGCATGTATCAATCTGCAAAGTGGTAAATGAGAATGAATCTAAAGTGCAGTTCCATCAATGAATATAGGATGAATTGTTTTAACAAGACTAAGAAATGAAGCACGTTCAAAGCACCCTGGAATTTGAACTTGAACTTCTTCTGTACATGTTTGTTTAGCTGATTCAATAGTGTTTTTCATTGCTGAAAGGAAACTCTGTTCTTTAATTTTGCAGCGGTAAATTCAGTTTTTTTTATGTACCTCGATTCCCCGTGGGTTGTTTTCTATTAGTATTGATTATGACAGGTTATTTTTGTTTTCTTTTTTAATATATACTACGTATATGCATGCAATTCCCTCGGTCCCAGAGGGTGCACCAATTTTTTTGTATACATTTTTTGGGTAAACTTTCAGAACAAAACTTTCATTGGCGGTTTTATCTTCTTGGAACACCTCCTATCCTTGGAACACCTCCTATGCGGTTTTATCTTCTTGGAAACTTTCAGAATGACTTTGGTGCACCAAGACTGAAACAAAGTGTTTTTTTGTTCCACAATCACCTCCTATTATGGAGATCATAATGTGCTTTAGTTATAGTATTATAGATTCCCCCTCTGTGTTTTTTTATAATAAACCTGAGCTCAAAAGATTCACAAAAATGTGATCCTTTAGTCATACTAAAAGAAAACCCATTAGAATATTGTTTCTGCACTAGATAAATAGAACTAGTACTACTTTCATCATACCCAAAAATTAATTTGGCCAATCAATTCAAGATTACTTCTAGGACTCAACTACAAAAAACTTGTACGATCTCTGTCTCAAGGAAGTCAAATTTGTAATATAAAAAACAGTACGTCAGTACTACAACAAGATTTATATTTTTTGTTTTTGTTTTTGCGGAGTGCTTATCTGCTAAGGATTGGATGATGAATGCATGCATGATACATCAAGAAGACTTCAGAGGTATACCAAGCAAATTGTATGGAGAAGGTAAGTGTAAAAGTTGTGGGACCTTAAACTTATAGCTGTATAATGCATGCAGCAAGCAGGCACACAAGAAACACCAGCCATGATATATTTAATGCCAATTTAAGTGGAAAATGTACCTTCTCTTGAAAAACAAGTTACCAGTTTTTTGGGGCACAATAAATGAAGACACCTAAGCATCAACAAGTCATAAAACCATTGGAAGAAACAAATAGCTGTTACAACTTACTATAGGATCAGGAGCATCTTCTTGTTTACACATGATCCATGGAACACCAGTTTGAAGATCTACAGCCATCTGGGCTGCCCATTTTGTATAAGCCTTACCCGGAGCACCCGTTTCCCACTCCACCGGCCCGTACTCATTTTCAATCTGCAACAAAGAATCAATAAGATCAGTTTCAAAAAATCATTTTAAGGGAAGAGGGAAAGGTATGAAAGGGTTGAAAAAATTGTCCCCCACTGGTTAAATACGGAGTATTAAATAACAAATCAACGTAAAAGAAATTAGATTAGTCTTCCTGACTTCCTATAAGTTTGACCTTTTAGGTGAAATTTCAAATTTTAATAATTACTTTCTTGAAACTGAGTGAAGAAGACAATTATCCCATCTAACCTGACTCATAATAATTGGTCCACCTTGTGATGCAAAAAACTTCTCTGATTTCAACATCTCGACAATTTTCGCAACAAACCCTTGCATAGCCACCTTACAGTCATAGTACAACACAAATAAGTACAGAAATAAGTAAAATAAAATACAAGCTGGGAAACAAATTTGTAGAACACTTGTTATCAAGAATAAATAATTAACAAGTGCAGATAGCTAACCTTAAAAGGCTGATTGTCAGTTCTAAATTCTATCCCGGGCACATATTTAAGCCAAACAGGAAAGCCTCTGTGCCATATTAACATAATAAATTACATTTGCAAATTTTATGCATAGGTGTTTATTGTTTTTTGGAGTGTATCTAAGTTACCCAAAATTCCATTCTGCACAAATGTAGGGTCCAATTCGGAGATGAACAAAAAGTCCTGCTTGATGAACCAGTTTTATGAACTTGGCTAAATCGTATCTCCCTTCAAAATTATACTGGATGGAGAATAAATTTCCAAAAAAAGGGGAAAAAAGTTAGAGTGTTTCCAGTTTTGAATTGCATACTTATTTTTTATTGGCATAAAACTAAGTAAACAATAGAGTTATAAAAGTACTTTTCCAGGAGAAGGTTCATGCCCATTCCAAAAGACATAAGTCTGTATAACATCCAATCCTCCATCTTTAGCCTTTTGTATAAGATCAGGCCACATCTACAGTCATCAGGCTCAAACTTTCAGGGATAAAAGAAAGGCATGGAAGAAATAACAACAGCAAATTAAGAAATACCCAGCTGTTAAATTAAACTGCAAAACCAAGTGCATTGAGATGCCACAAATTAAAAAGGTATAAAAAAGATCAAGATTTAGAGAAGATATACTATTCCAGTTGCCAAAAAAGGACATTATGCAAAGAAAAAAACACTCAAGAAAAATTGTTTAGAGAAGTGTGCAAGTGTATTGGCATTTCTAATAGATATAAAAGAGAAGATTTGATGATTGAAGAAAAATAGCCCATTGCTGAAGAAGAAGAAAGAAACAGGTTCAAAGAAGTGCATTAGCACCTCAGTACCTCAGGAGTGCTTCTTGGGTAGTGAATGGAACCAGAGATGAGAATCCTCCTCTTCCCATTAATGAGAAATGTTCTTCCATCATAGGAAACATCACCCCTCACTGAGGAACATACCAGTGAGGATAAAACCACAATAAACAACACCCAGAAATTGCACCTACATTTCTTGATTCCCATTGGCTTATTGTTCAACTAAAAAGAAAAGGGAAGAGATTTCACGGTTCTTTTATTCTTTTACTCAAAGTTGTTTTACTGTTCTCTGCAGAAGAGGAAGAATGAAACCTGTGTCTTATCTCCTATTCAAACACGTAGTAGTATTTGTTTATACATGTAGAATAAAGATGCTTTTTTTTTGTATATAAATAATGAGGAGTATATATTATGATATGACTAGGGAGCTGAAAACTTAGTGAGCCCGTGAGGTTAAAGAACTTATAAATGTGTGAGGGAAAGATAGGTGGGGCACCCCTAAGGGAAAGGCCTCTTGTAATTCCTGACAGGAGCTTAAATAGCATAATCAAATTCTGTAGCGAATAATAAATGCTGGGAAATGCCAGAGTTTGACAAAAAATGTTGACCCCCTCCCCATCTACACTCACGGGCTGAGATCGGTTGAAGGCGTCTAATCATCACCCACTCCTAGACAGTCCTAGTTAAGAAAATAATTTTTAAATAACACCTCCGTTTAAAAATCACTATCTTGACACAACATTTAAGAGAGAAATAATAGGATTAGTGAATAATGTAGAAAAAATAAGAAATAATGTGAAAAAGTATAAAATTGAAGATAAAAATATGAAAAGTAAGGATTAATAGAAATAGTAAGGATAAATGTAGGATAAAATGAAAAGTAGGGATAAAAGTAGAAAAATAGAAGATAAAAATCATGAAAAGTAATTTTGATGAATATATAATACTACGTGTTCTGAACACATATATAATAGTCTATCTTGAGAAGTAATTTTTTAATATGATGTATATTTTGAGTAGTTTAATGATTTCATTGTGAGTGGTAGACGCCCTTTGCTATGAACACTCAAATTTAGAAAATAAAATGTAAACGTAAATATAGAATTGATGCATCTTATTTTTTACATAACATTTCTTATCTTCAACCCTACTTAATAGTAGTACTTTTTTTTGTTATTGAAAAACTTAGGGCCTGTTTACTAACAGAGATATTTTCTTGTTTTCTACTTCTGTTTTTCGTTCTCCAATTTTCTGTTTTTATTTTTCAGTTTTTCTATCTCCAATTTTCTGTTTCTATATTTTAGTTTTCCATTTTCAAATTTGAAAACATGTTCATCAATTTTTTCACACAGTTCTCCAATTTCACACCCTTGACCCCTACCTCTACCCTTACCACGATCTTACACTCTACCCATACTCCACCACAACCCTTCATACCCACCCATACCTACTCGTAGGGGACGGGGTAGGGAAGTTATGGGTGGGGGTGGGGTAAGGGGTATGGTCGGGGTGGGGGTGGTAAGGTCTAGGTGTAGGGGGTTGGGTGGGGGGTAATGGGTGGGTTAGGGTCGTGGTTAGGGTTAAGGGTGGGGGTAGTGGGTAAGGTTGGGGTAAGGTAGGGGTAGGGTAGGGAGTTGGGATAGGATGGCGGTAGGGTGGGGTCGGGACCAGGGTCCGGGGTAGGGAAGGGGTAGGGTGGGGGGTAGGATGGCAGTAAGGGTGGGGGTAGTGGGTAGGGTTTGGGGTTGGGGTAAGGTAGGGGTAGGGTAGGAAGTTGGGATAGGATGGCGGTAGGGTGGGGTCGGGACCAGGGTGGGGCCGGGGTATGGAAGGGGTAGAGTGGGGGGGTAGGATGGCGGTAAGGGTGGGGGGTAGTGGGGTAGGGTTTGGGGTTGGGGGTAAGGTAGGGGTAGGGTAGGGAGTTGGGATAGGATGGCGGTAGGGTGGGCCCGGAATCCGGGTGGGGCCGAGGTAGGGTAGGGTGGGGGTGGGGGTAGGATGGCGGTACGAGGGTGGGGGTAGGATGGCGGTGGGGTGGGGCCGAGGTAGGAGGCATGTGGTAAGGGGTAAGGTAGGGGTAAGTGGTAATATACGAGGGGTGGGGGTAGGGTGGGGTGGGTCGGGGTGGGGTCGAGGTGGTAGGGGTGGCGGTAGGGTAGGGTGGATCGAGGTGGGGTCGAGGTGATAGGGGGGTGGCGGGTAGGGTAGGGTGGATCGGGGTGGGGCCGAGGTCGGGGCATGTGGTGGGGGGTGGGGTAAGGTCATTATAGGGAAAAATGGGTACACGGGGTGGGGGTTGGGTGAGTAGGGTAGGGTAGGGGTAAGGGGTAAGGTACGAGGATGGAGGTACCGGAATGAAATCGACATCGGAGCAAGACCGGAGCCACCACCAGGTGTAAGTATGCAAAGGCACTGTAGCATCTGCGTTTTCCAAATTTGGAAAACTAGTAAAAGTCACTTCTCCAAATCATTAAGGAAAAGAGAGACATGTTTCATTTTTTCCGTTTTGGAAAACGATTTGGTAAACGCGTTTTTCTTTTTTCCTTTCTCCAGTTTTCCAGGAATTTCTTTGGTAAACACGTTTCCTGTTTTCTATTTTCCAGTTTTCCAGTTTTCTGGAAAACAGGAAAATATTTCTGTTAGTAAACAGGCCCTTACATTTCTTCCGGTGTTGGATCAAACAACAGTAATATTTAACAACAAAATAATTTGAACACTCAACATTTGATTGCAAGATCCGACATTAATCATTGATAATAATTATGATGTTATAAATGTACTATTTTTAATATTTGATGTTTAAGTTGTCATTTAAGGGTATTAATTACTTACTAAAATAGAAATAACAACTTGTATCTCTTGAACATCCAAAAGAGACAAGTGAGAAGTTTAAGTTGGGACAGTGAGAGTATCATCATATCATGCTCTCGTTTAGTCATGGACCCGGGCCGAGCCCGGCTGGGTTTTTTTTTTGGGAAGGAAGGCCCGGGACCGGCCCGGGTAGCCACCGGGTCCGGGCCGCGCCTCGGGTCATTTTTTTTATTTTTTTCCTTTTCCTAATTCACCCCCCCAACCCCCCCAAACCACCCCAAATGGCCCAAAATACCCAGCCCAACCCGAAAAGTTTTAAAAAAATTGAAAAAAAGAAAAATTAAAAAGCCCGGAACCGGGCCCGAACCGGCCGGGCCGGTTCGGCTTTTGGGTGACCCGAGCCCCCGGGTCGGGCCTACCCGGACCGGTCACTGGCTGGGCCACCGGGACGGGCCGGTTCAGCACAGTACCGGTCCCGGGCCGGGCCACCTGGCCCGAGTCCAAGACTGCTCTCGTTGTAATAATTAAGAAGATCAATTGGCTGACATGTGTAGCTCAAGTGAATAACATCCCACACCTAAGATCTTTCTCTTGTGGGAGATCTTGGTTTCAAGTCCAATTTTGAAAAATTCTTTCAAATGATGACCATCTAGCCTCGAGGCCAGTTTGACTAGTCTCGCAATATAATAAATGCTTTCTCCTGCCTAAATCAGCAGTGTTTGTGGAATTGTCGGTTAGCTTTTTGCTAGGAACTTAACTGTGTTTGACGCATTGGTGGCGGTTTTCCCGGAGACGAAGTCAATTAGTTAAAACAAGTGATCTCTTGTGTGCGGTGGTTGGTGGTGTATAGATGGACTTGGAATCAAACGGATTGTTTGACTCGAGTTTACTTCTCTTAAGCATTTCAGGTGGATTTTTGAGAACCTTGAATTAGACAGTTCTCCTTAGTGACCAAACAAGCCTTATTGCAAATGTCCTTATTTGTGCCTGAGTGACCGAGTCTCATGAATCTCAAATACTCAAATGAGAGTTCTCATGAATCCCCTGAGTATGACAAAATCTTCTGGACATATAGAACTCATAGTTCAATAATCTAGAAGTAAGAGTGTAAGACTATGTCTTTACGGTTGAAAAAATGGTTTTATTTTAATATATTGGCCATCTTTGAGATAAAATAAACACGGGATTCACAATTAGTTTGTGGTAGGACCAAGTACTAACGTATAGTGCTCTAGAAGGTGATCGCAACCATATATTAAAATGTGCAAAACCATTTGATAAGAGGTTCCCACAACTTATTGAAGAGGTGTCTCTTGGAAGTGTCTCATGACCAGATCACACTATGTATCCAAGACTTACTCTTCTCTTTTTGTCTCCTTCATCTCTGTGCATCTTTGAGTTCGTCGGTGTCCTGTTGGGAACGAGGAATTCTACCCTGGGCGGCGCTTGTTACTTCTATCGGACAAAAACATCTTAAGAAAACAACCTTTACGTTGGCACGATTACAAGTAATCTTAAGTTTTTCCTTAATTAATTATTTGCTATTTCATTTGCATGCACAATTATTATAGTACACACAATAATCTATTTTTTTCACCTCTCCTATTTCATTCCATTGAAATTGATTGTGATCCTCTGCCCGACTAGGAGGGCGCCTTGCTCATCGGATGATCGGGCAGGGGTGAGGACGGCCTCGAGATCAGCGAAAGTGTGGACCCCAAGATCTATGACTATTGAATTGCCGATCGGACGGTTGTCTGGAAGCAAGACACTCTAACTTGCTCTAAAGCAAGACAGAGGCTCCAGATCCCCGCACTGAAGTGTGACTTTAATTTTGATAATTTATAACTGTGGATTTAATTCTGAAATAGAGCAGATCTAATATAAAAATAAATAAAGTGAGTATTAATTGTGTTTTATCGTTGTATTCCTACTTATCTACGATATAATCCTTGCAACTTTACGCAAGTGTGACTATTGACTAGTACGGTTGGTTGGTTATATAGACGCCAACTCCAGCAACGGGTTCTTCTCAGTTTTTCATCTTTAAATTAAAATCATTCAAAGAAGTTCATACTTCATATATCTGTCATAAACTCATCTGTGGCTGCATCATAAAGTCCCATTAATGAGACTTTTGATTGCTTATACATATGACAAGACTTAAACATATTACATCATATCAGATCAAATCAAATCATACTTGGATATTTTTTGAAAATGCAAATATAATAAAAGTCTACTAGATCAAATTAGACTATATATATCATGACGTAGTAGTTAATACTAAAATATCACACCAAATTATTATAAGAACATAACCAGACCAAATACGGAGTAGGTAATTAGGGAAAGTGATGAGCAATTGTAATTTTCGATCACCATCAAATAGGCACGTGTGGCTAAACAAATTAAAGTGATTACCTCACGAATCACGATATGGTGTACCTACGAATGACTGAATGAGCATGGTCTAGGAACTCCAACAGCAAGGTATTCAAAGTGGCACCAAACAAATCAAGTGCCGAAGTGCGTCCTTCAATTCTCGATGCACCAAATGTAGTGACTACTTTACACGTGTATAAATAAGAAATAAAAGACTCCAAATGGATTGTCTAATACTCCATATGTATAGTAGAATCAACACCAAACACTAGCAAGAAACACTTTATCATGCACCA